ATAAAATTTTCTATTTACACTTTAATTTTTTTTATATAAAAAACATATGAAAATAGTTTATATTCCCCCGTTAACAACTAGTTTATTATATGTTAAGTCAATATTTATAGAAAAATAAACACACATGGAACAAATCACTCAAGATACTTCTTTACACCAAGGCATTGCAATATATATATATATATATATGAACGAATTACCATTAACATCAACCTTGCTCAGATCAACTCTCCAAATAATTTTAAGAAATCACCCCATATATACAAAGATAGAGAGAGAGAGAGAGAGAGAGAGAGAGGGGAGAGTAATTAAGAAAGAGGTAAAATTGAATTATTTTATTATTGTAATGAAATAATGAGAGGAAAGTTAAAGAAAGGAAAGGAAAGGTTCTGTCTGGTCCCATCGGACCCATCCTAATAAGTTCCATGTGATTGGGTCTGTAGGTTAACGGCTGTGGGCATTTGCTCCTCTGTAGCACTCATCATCACCACATTTTTAACTAGAATTTCAAGAACATGACACACACCATTCTTGACAGCACATTGCTCCTCCACATTTCTTTTATTTCTTTTTCTCCCCTTCTTTTTCCCCTTCTTTTTTTCTACTATATTATATATATATATATATATATATATATATATATATATATATATATATATATATATATACTTTTCGAAGCTGTTTCATCAAGCCTCTAATCATACCCACATGACATGAGGGCAGATTAAATTAGGCTTTAAAGGAGAATATATAACATGGTGAGCATTACATGATGCGGAGGAGCTTACTGCCTCCATGATTTCAAGATTTGTGGACTCCACTCGGAAACCTATTTTATAATTCATAGTTATATATAAGCTATCTTATGTCCTTGTTACTACATAATTTATTTTTGCGTATGCTAGCTTTGTTTGATGCATCTATGGTTTTGCATATTTAGAGTTTTTTTTCATATATATATATTATTAAACAATAGGTTCTACATTCGGGAATATATATTTGGAATCTAATCTTTAATTATTCGCATTAATTCATGAATATAATTAGATTTAACTTGTCTGGTTAATTATCAAGACTCAGTGATCATATCATTTTAGTGAATTGAATGAACTCAAGTTGAGTTAAACTAGGATTCTTTCAACTATTCCATGTGTAACTAATATTTCTCATCTTAAATCTAATTTTACCAACAAAATTTAATGGACGGATATAAAAAACCAAAAACATGTATAATTACATAAATATAAATATAAATATAAATATAAAATAATATATTCATGACAATAAATTTATATATTTTTAAAATAAAAATATAAAAGAATATGTTCTTTTTACTCCCTTTTTTTTATATTTTCTGTCTCGAAATGCTATTTTGTATATCTGAAATGAAAGTGATTAATACAGTATTTAATGAGATTAATAAAGGGAACATTAATTAATCTAAAAAGGAACCAAGATCTATCATAATTAATCTCCATTTCACCTAAAAAATCTTCAACGGATCAAGAAAATGAGAAATAAAAATTTGATGAAATAAGAGCGGAGGGGTAGAAAAAAAAAAAAAAGGAAAGAAGGAAAAGACAGGAACAGATTGGAACAGCTGTGAAAAGGGGCCCATTTTGTGAGGTGTTAGAACGTGCGTGGCGTTTCTCCTGGATCTGTGAAACCTTCGCAGCAGCCCACCAACGCCATCCTCTCCCTCCGTTAAGTCTCTGGCCATATGGGTGCGCAGTGCGCACATGCTCCTTGCTTCCCCTTCCTTTTTTTCATCCACTTCATATTACCTGTAAAACCCTCCCTTGTCTCGAATTTGTTGCCAGCACACCCCCTTGTCATACTATTTAAAATATGTGTAGGAATTTGATTGGACATTAACTGAATTGAATGTTTTTTTAATTGTTTTAATAATTTAGTTAATTTTTTTTTTAAAATCATGTTGGTTTTTTAGTTTTGGTTTTTAAAAAAAATCATGTTGGTTTTTTAGTTTTGGTTTTTAAAATAATAATAATAATAATAAAAACTGAACCGAACATTTATCTAAATGAAAATAAACTAAAAAAACCTTATTATAAACTACATATCTATAATTTAGATTTTTTTCAAAAATAGCTCAACTGAAAGACCCATTAATTAAATTGGACTTAATTAACTTTTTTAAAAAAAAAAAAACTGAACTGATTTGATTTGTCTTGGTTCAAAATTTTATGGAAAACAATATTGGTTTAATTAGGATTTGTTTATATCTAAACCAGAACCAATGCTCACCTCTAATCCATTCCTGTCATGATTATCAAGTAATTTTTTTTATATCTTGTGTCATTAACAATCAACAACGTAGTTGGTACTCTTGGAATCTGCTTTGCTTAGATTTAGCAATGATGTGTTTGTGTTTTTGTTTAAAAAAGATTTTTGAATTTTTTTAAGTTTTTTTTTTGTTTCAAATTATATATTTTTTAATGATTTTAAATCGTTTTGATATGTTGATGTCAAAAATAAATTAAAAAATTATTTTATTATATTTTTTAGTAAAAAACACTTTAAAAATTAACTACTATTACAATCTCAAATACTATATTCATTTTCTTTCCATGTTGTTAACTTGGTTTTAATTTTAAGAAAATACTAAAAGAAATTTTTTTTCATTAAAACAATGGTATACTTCAAACATAATTGAAAAACAAATAGTATATAAAAATTAACCTAAAGATATTTTTCGACTATTAATTGATAAAATCACTTCAATTTATGGAAGATAATAAATAATCAAGACAAGCGTGCGCTAGGGAAAAAAAAAAAAAGGAAGACTTTAAGCAAAACAAAGGGTTATATCCTGTGTTTCATTTGGTTAATATTTCATAATAAAAAGGATATATTATAAAAGGAATAAAAATGTATTTGATTGAAAAGAAAAAACAAAAACATAACACAAATATATTTCTAAAAAAAAATTAAAATGAATTTATGTTCTTTTAAAACATGTGAAAACATGTACTTTTTGTCTCTACTATTTCTATATTTTCTATCTAAAAACAATAATCAACAATGCAATTACTAGTATACATCACCTTTTAATTTTTATAGATTAAACCTTAATCACCAGCTAAGCCAGCCAAGACATTAACAACTGATATCAAATCCAATTCCAAGGCCATCAACTATCAACAAGCACTTAAATCTTACGAAAATGGTGGAAAATAATAAGCTTTGTGAAGAGCACTGTATGAAGTTGGATGAACAAATACAATGCAACCACCAAGAATGGTAAGGATTTATGGTGGAAAATAAAGAACGATGGTTAGAGCAAAGCAAGAAGATCGATAAGATGAATCTACAGATTGAAGCTTTGACAAATTAGTTCCATTTCTTGTTGGCAAGTCAATTGGCATGAAGGGAAGTAGCTAGGGGATAGCTCCAAACACTAGAAGGGATGTAGGAATTCAACAACCTTGTGCAGTAAAGAAGTATGGAAGGCTATGTGGAAAAGTTCGAGGAATGCATTAAATCCTTCACTGCGTGAATCATATTACATTTCCAGTTTTATCAGTGGGTTAAAGGATAACATTAAACAAATGTTAAAGATTTTAAGGCTAGATAATATTAAGTAATTTTTCAGTCAAAATTAACTTGTAATCATTCCAAGAATGAATCTCTTAAACATCCTTTGAATAACTTGTATGAGCAAAGAAAAAAGACATGGGCAGTGTTCTAAGTTTCACAATGAATAGATGAAGAAATTGAGAATGATGAACAATAACAAGATTGAAGAATTTGGGTTATAATTTAAGGCTCTAGCCGAGAGTTATGCTCTTAATACAATTAGGGTTAATTAGAGGTAGTTGTGAAGGAGAAGATCTTGTAATCCTAATTGACAATGGAGGTCCGCATGGTTTTGCGATTAATATGTGATTAAAGGATTGAAAGTTATTACTTGAAAGGCAGCCATGGTAGCAAATAGAAATGTCAAATGTCATGTTTGAGTGATGCATAAAGTCTTAGATTTACTTGGTTCATGCAAGGCCACGAGTTCAAGGGAGACATGAGGATTCTGGAACGGGGCACATGTGATGTGGTCTTGAGATTGATTGATTGATTAAGAATATATTCTCCGATGCCTCTTTAATTTCATTAAGATGAAGCTAGTCAAATATTTAAAATGACATATTAAACCATATAATACAAATAAAATTTAAAATGTATCGGAACTTACCACATAAATATTTTGCCATCACCGTAACCTTGCAAAACATATCATTACAACGACAATTCCATGCAATTGGAGTGAAAAATGCAAGCCCGACACTACACAATCGACAGAACACAAAGGTCTTTTTCTTTTTTCCAAGGAAAGAAAAAACCTACGGCTACTCAAAGATGACCCTAATTCAACGTTTTGAGGACAGGGTTCATCCCTCACGCTAAAAAAAAAAATAAATAAATAAAGAGCCCGCCTGGTCCTCGCTCTGCTTGAAATCCAAATTTGTCCTACACGGCCGCGCCGCAAGACGCCGCCCACGCCCACCTCCTCTTCTTTTCGGTATCTCTTCTGACAACAATGTGAAACAAACGCTTCTCGTACATGTAATCTAGCACTATTCCTTCCATCGAACACTCTTTATCCCATAGTAGCCAGCAGTCAACTCATGCGAGTCTTCTTTTCCAATAAAGAAAACCCAACGAGCCTTGCTGGGCTAATACATTAATGGTCTTGCATGTCCACGGCAGCAATGACTGTAGCAAAAAGATTATCCTCAAAACATTAGTGCGATCTCCAGGTAGAAATCTCAAGTCTTAACCATTGGAGTTTGGACTCCCTTGGAAGTAAATTCCGTGGCTGATTAGACGGCAAAAGAAGAACATGCTTCTGAAGTTGTAAGCGAGTGGAAGAAATTCTAGGATGAAAAAGAAAACAATAAGGATAAAATTTAGGTTCCCAAGCCATATCCCATCAAGTCAAAAAAGGGTCACCATCACTTGAAGTGATCTATTAACGACTCCTAAAGCATCGTTAATTGTCCACTTTATCAAGGCGACAGCTCCCACTAGAACTAAAAGGACTTGCACCCATCGGAATGAACAAGTTGCACTTATGGCACTTAATGCTTTGCTGTGCTATCGAAGTGTTTCTGGCCCTTCAAAAGCCACTTTAAACCCCTGGCTTTAGTCACTAATGAAATGGATGTACAGTGCATGCACTAGTTCACACTCAACTTGCAACTTCAAATGCAGCTAACCTCCCAGTTCCTGAGAGAGGTTCTCGGCCACAAATCCCACCTGATTTGCTAGTTATGCAATCTGGACGTAACTTAACCATATTAGTTGGTGGATAAAGATTAAAGCACTGAAATGTAAAGCTATTAAAAAGCATCGCTGGTGTTAAGACAGTTTTTCCTTCAAGCTATGGTTTATATGCATTTGTAGTTGGAGACGGATGCATTGACATAGGATGGACTGCACGAGAAAAACAGAACATGCAATTTACCCAATGAACCAAAATCATGAGAATTCTCAAGTAAAGATCCATATTGAAGAAAAGATGGAAGATCTACTCCGGAAAAGAATGAATAAAACCAACAGGGCCTCTAGTAACACAGGTACACGGAGAATCTGGCGCTAGTTGTCTATTTCACTCAAGAAGAATGACTGGAAATGGTATAGGGATCAAATCAAGAACCAGCTTTGTATACGGATAGTCCTATGCGGAGAGATTATTCATAGTTAAACCACCTAGGAAATCTATAGAGCAAGAGGACAACCACATCAACACAATCAATGAGAAGAGAAAAAAAAAAAGAGGCTCCATTAAGAAGCTAGCCTGAGCCTTTGATATCACTCCAGAAAAGGTTAGATACAGGATAGGTTTCATGAAGAAAGAGCTGAAACATGACTTTGACTATTCTCTTTTGCGTAGACCCATTGAACTTTGTCATTTCCATATTTCCTAGGGTCTTGCTCAAACAATTTCTCACAAACTAAGAGATGCCCAAACATCTCATTCGTTTATGACAAAGATGGGTAAGAGACTCATTAATGCAAAAGTCAAAACGTATACCTTAAAGCATTTTTTAACTAGCAACTCAAAGATTAAAAAACAAAGATTCAGACTAAAAGAATGAAATACAATCATCGCAAGAAAAAGAAGGTTTCAAGAATGGTACATGAGATTATTGCCAGCTAAAATTACAAAAAGTTGTTAACAAGATTACCGAAATGTTCTTTCATCTCACTCACAAAAACCCTGCATCCCTAGCCTTCCAAGGTTTCCAAGGAGAAAACATGACACAAAATTGGAGAGTGTGAGAGCATTAGAATAATGAACTCCATAAGGTCGTAATTGGACCAATAAGGCAACAAACACAATGAATTAATTGGATGATTTAGCTCTTAGCATAACAATAGCTGACCGAAGGCAATGAACTCCAAGTCATTGTAGGTCCACCATAGGAGAGAAAAACTGCACAAGGCGGGAGGCATTTAAATGTGAGAAAATATAAACACATCTCAATTAAACAGCATTGAATTGCTGACATGGTTCCCCAAAGACTTATCTAACACTACCTTACGGGGTTAAGGGGGTTTTGTGTAGATCAGCAAACCCTTCAAATTTACTAGTTCCAAATATTGGGTATTATCCATACAATTAGACCATAAAAAATATGATACAAGCTGAATAATAAAGAAAAAACATGCACTAATGAGCACTGAAAGTACACAAATTGAATACAAGATTATAAGGTGATGTGATCAATGAGTTGCATCGGGTTAAGGTAAAACCCATGGTGTTGGATCCAACATATCAGCAGAAAAGCAAAACAATGTGGTAAGATAGTCAACTGGGTTCTAATCAGAACAGGATGTCAAACTGATGCACGAAAATCCTATCAAGGGCTTTCCTTATAAAGTAAAAAGGACATATCAAATCAACACCAAATAATTGGGATGATATTTAACTGAACATCTACTGCAATGAGTGGGTGGCACAATTAAAGATCTAATTGCTCAAACAATAGTGTTCGACAGAGAGTTGAAGGTACAAGAAAAAAATAAAATTACTAGAGTTCACAGCAAAACAAAGAAAATTAAAAACAGGAGAAATGAATCTTGGAATTTTCATTTGTAAACTAACAAAAATTGTCTCTCGCATCATTAGCAATGTCTACAAGTTAGATATAGACTTCAAATTATTTACCTTCCAAAGAAGAAGGAAGGCACAGAATGTAGTCCATGAAGTGAAGGTCTGTGATCTCATCTTAAACTCGACTGCATAAAAAAGAAACTCTCATATCTGCAATTAGCTAGCATGGTTTTCAAAATGCCAGATGCCATTCGGCAAACCACTGTTGCAAGAAGGAAGCCAAACAATGATGCTGTACAATATAAAGCACAGGCAGGGAAAGGGCCTTCTTCAAGCATGAAGTAATCTCCCCAATAATGATATCGAGTGGACGAAGTGCTACCATGCATTTTCATACGGAATCAGCAAAAGAACCAAAAGATCCCTTCCCACACTGTCTAACTGATATTGTAAGGAGTCCATCACTTGTTTGAGTCAGTTTGCAACACAGGCGACGTGGTGACTGTCCATTATATATATTTACTATGTCAACGTTTAACTTACAGGAAAAAGTTTGAGAATTAAAAAACATACAAAAGGAACTCACCAAATGCCAGTTCTTTAGAGGATACCCCAAAGCCTGGATACGCCCCACATAAGGAAGAGGAGCCGAACGAGGAAAGCAGAGAACTTTTCTTTTCAAATCATCATTCAATCTCCCCGCCCGCACATATGTACCCAGAGTAGTGTTGCCTTGTCTTTCCACATCTTCTAAGAAGAAGAGGACTGGACTCTTACAAACAGATTTGGAGGGATCCCTAGTATCCAAATCAAACTCGTTCAGATTACGAATCTTGTTCCAAGCAGAGAAAGTCATTTCTGAGCGCTCAAGGACCCGGGGTTGCACGATGCTTGGGAACACTTGAATAGCATAACCAAGCGACACAGAAAAAGTTAGGCGGCGTGCATGGTCATAACAGATTGATCGCTGCAAGAAGCTCATAGGATCAACCTTCATGGCCTTAGCGAACAATTTCAAACTGTCCAAAGAGCTCATCCCAGGGTAAATAGGCTCCACGGCCTCTACATGATGAATTGACACAAAGGGTGAAATCGGGTGCGCAGATAAAAGACCATGAGCGCTACCCCTGATATCCCACTGCCATAACAAACCAACCACAACTTAAATCCTGGAGTTCAAGAGGTCTAATTCTCCAGATTTTTTCATGGTCAACGTTCAATCCATTAAGTTGACTTTAACATAAAACCACTTTCTTAGCACCACAAGCCATGACACATAATTACTAATAAAATACAAGTTGTCTAAAAGGTAATAATTAGAAAATGATTAAGAGCAGGAGGGCAGCAGTAGTAGATAAACAAACCTGGTGAAACCCATGTTCTCTTGATAAAGGAACGCCAAGCTCGGAAATACAAGCGAGGAGTCTATCATCACTTCCATATAACCTATGATATCTCTCAAGACAATCATCAAGAACACTATAAAGCGCCTTGGCAAGAGGATAACTTATAGCAATCCCGCCACCTCCATAAGCCATATTATGACTAAAATAAGTATTAGCAGAGTGACTCTCTGAAGGACCGCCGATATAAACCATCTCATTACAATCATACTTACTCAATACATCAACCAAATTATCTACACTAAAAATAGTATCATCATCTCCCAAAACAAACCATCGAACATCAGACAAACCTAGTCGAAAAGTTTCCAACACAATGCGCGCAATCCGAAGCCCAGAAGGATGTCCGGTCGGATTCGTGTACCGAAACCGAGAGGTATCCTCCGAAATCATAATCCTTGGCAATGACTCATCCCATTCTTTATCATCCACTTGCTCTTCCACCCAAACATGACCCCGCATTGAAGAATCCTTTCTCCACCATAGCCTTATAAACTCTTTCCTTCTCTTCCACAGCTGAGAAGACCCTGCAATGCCGAAAACTATATGATTTAACGCTAGCCCTGCTCCATCTCTTCGTCTCTCCTCCTCCGATAGACTCCTGTTTCTTCCTAATGGAAGAGACGGAGCAATTCCTTCAAGAGAAAAATCTTTATCTTCTTCCTCAACCCCATTTGGATTCTGACTTTGTGGTTTCCACGGGAGCGTATGCAAACTGCCTTCCCAGTTCTTAAGCCTATGCCAACACCACCGAGCAGTAGTGCCGGAGAAAACAAGAGACAGCCAGGCTGTAGTGGTAATCACAAGTGCAGCCACCACAACAACAGCGGTACAAGTCCGACTCTGACGCCATCTACGACTGCGAGTGTGGGGCGGTGAGCGGCAGAGAGGGGAGGCGGAGACGGAAGAAAAATCCATACCGATTTTGTGCTGCTTGGCTGAAAACAAATCATCTCCGTCTCATAAGAGAACGGAAAAGGAGAATCTGCAGATAGAGAGAAATTTATTATAATTTGGTTTGTTCGGAGAGATTAAGGAGAGGTTTTTGGGTATTTCAAGTGTCTTTGGTAGTAAGATGATGATTTGATTTTTTATTTTTGATTTTAAATTTAAATTTTCATTTAAGAAGTTTGAGATAGAATATATTAAGGGTTTTTTTTCCTTATGCACCTTTAACATAATGGGCCGGTGGGTCTTGCCTTCCAAAACTAACAATACCTAATTTTTTTACTTTTATGGGAAAAGTATTATAGCAATAAATAAGTATTTTTTTTCACATGTTTTATAAAATTAAATTATTAAATAAATTATTATTTATTTTATAAATTATAAAATTTAAATTAAATTTTATTAATGTATAAACAAATATAAATTCAAAAATTCTCAAACAAAATCTAATATATACAAATTATATATCTATAATATAAATTTATATAGAAAAAAGCTATAAAAACAAGTAAACATCAAAATAAGTTACATATATTACAAAAATATATAATAAAAATTAATATTTTAAAATTAAGTTCAAACAAAAAATAAATAATTTTGCTTACTTGAAATAGAGAATTCTTAATAAAAATTAAATCAGAGTAGAGATATTGATAAATTAAGTGTTGGGTAGCTAAATTTATAATGAGAAATTAATTTGTAATAAAATTAAATGGGGTTGTGATGTTGTTGCATTATAAAAATAGATAAAGAAGAAGAAATGAGGGATAAAAAAAAAAGATTATTCTTCAAGTCATAAATTAAATACTCTATATAAATTTATCGATGAATTTAATTAATATATTTAAATCTGTTAGTGAGTTTGTCTGTAAAAATAACACATCATTATATTTTTTTAATTTTTTTCACTGTATTTTTTTAATATATTTTAAAAAAATATTTTTATTCGTGTTTATCGATATATATCCCTTACGCACCTTTAGCATAATGGGCCGGTGGGTCTTGCCTTTCAAAACTAACAAAACCTAATTTTTATAATTTTTTTACTTTTACGGGGAAAGTATTATAGCAATAAATAAGTATTTTTTTTCACATGTTTTATAAAATGAAATCATTAAATTAATTATTATTTATTTTATTATAAAATATCTAAATTATAAAATTTAAATTAAATTTTATTAATTTATAAACAAATATAAATTTAAAAATTCTCAAATAAACTCTAATATATACAAATCATATATCTATAATATAAATTTATATAGAAAAAAACTATAAAAATAAGTAAACATCAAAATAAGAAACATATATAATAAAACTATACAATAAAAATTAATATTTTAAAATTAAATTCAAATAAAAAATGAATAACTTTACTTACTTGAAATAGAATATTTTTAATAAAATTTGAATCAAAATAAAGATACTGATAAATTAAGTGTTGGGTAACTAAATTTATAATGAGAAATTAATTTGTAATAAAATTAAATGGAGTTGTGATGTTTGTTGCATTAAAAAAAATAGATAAAAAAGAAGAAATGAGGGATAAAAAAAAATTATTTTTCAACTCATAAATTAAATACTTCAAATAGATTTACTAATGGATTTAAGTAATATATTTAAATTTGTTGGTGAGTTTGTCTATAAAAATGACACGTTATTATATTTTTTTATTTTTAAATTTTTTTTTCATTGTAATTTTTTTAATATATTTTGAGAAAATATTTTTGTTCATGTTTATATATATATATACACACACACACGAGGGACAATTTTATTGATAAACTTCACTTAAATTCACCAATAAAATTTTTTTACTAATATTTCTGTTTATATTTACTAATTTTGCTGATAATTAACTATCTCATGCAGGGAAGCTAAAATGAAATGCCACTGAAAATAAAATTTGTAGTCTAGTTCGTTGGTCATCTTCCCCTTTTGGATCCTAAAGGTTATCCTATCAAAGATGAAACTTGATCACTGAGTTCAAGAGAACAGTCTCAAACCTTTAACTTATTTAACTTGTATGGATGATTAAGGTTGTATTTGGAAATGTGATTTTCATTATGTTTTTAAATATTTTTATTTTTTATTTAAAATAAAATATTTTTTATATTTTTAAATCATTTTAATATATTAATATCAAAAATAATTTTGATATATTTCTAAAAAAACAATTTAAATTATTATCAATATTACAATTTCAAATATACCCTTAACTCTTAATTTTCCAAACGCCAAAAAATGTGCCACAGCCAACAAGCCCTTTCCTAAAACCCAACTATTGTAGCTTCATTTTTGTTAATCTTTGATTAGAGAGACCTCCAATTATTTTTCTTTTCAAACTATTTTCCTAGAATATAATTTTGAAACACTAATTACTAGTATAAAGAACATTAACACCATTTTAAAATATTTTGATTTTCTTTTTCTTGTTTTTTATAACAAAAATATTTATTTTCTAATTTCCTCTTTTACACATGAACCAAAAAAATAAAAAAATTATTAAACTACATCAAATGTCCAATGGCCTCTGAAAGACTGGAGATAACCCTTGTAGGATGTTTTATCAATATTAAACTATGTCTCAAATGCCCAATGGCCTCTGACGAGCCTAAAAGAATGGAGATAACCCTTGTAGGATGTTTTATCGGAGGATTAAAAAAAAAGGTCCTTTTTTAAATATTTTTTAATTAAAAAGATATTAATATAATTCTTTTTAAATTTGTTTTTAATTTTTAAATCAAGATATTAAAATTATATATTTTGAACAAACGTTGTACTGTACCGACCAAAGACCAGAAATGCCTAAACGAGCAAGAAGTTCACAGAAACTAGAAGTCAGGTACGAGAATCTCCCACTCAAGTCCCCTGCCGCGAAGACTTAAAATTCGAACAGTGTATGTTCTCTCTCTCTCTCTCTTCCAATATGTGAGGAGCCGCTTGAGTTAACATTAAGTCCCTTGCATTTGTAAGAAAAGGTTCTCTTCACATTCTCTGCTTAATTAGTTTTGAAAAACACATAATAACGCAAATAGCAAATTACTTCCTATCCAATCCAACAACATCGAAGAAACAAAAACCGTTTAATCTAAGTTTTTAATGTTGAAACATAATAGTTATTAAACTCATTTAGGATATTAATTTGACATAAAATTTAGATCATGAATCAAATAGATTAATCATAATTAATAAAAAATAATTATTAATTGATCAATTAAATTAAATTAAATCAACTTTGGTGGACTTTGTTTTACATCTTGATTCACTCAAGTGTCATCAAATTCTAAGTCGGCTTGTGTAATTAAGCTAAATTTAAAGAATATTTAGTATTTTTGTAGTTTCCGTGTTTTGTTTAATTACATAGAAAAAAATTATTTGATTAATTATATATAATTGTGTTTCAAAACTTGATTTTGTAGAAGTTAAGATAACCATTTTTTATTCATGAAGACATGCTTTTGTTTTTTATTTTTTTGGCAAGCATAGAACATTTTTAAATTAATACATATTTAAAAAAAAAAGTTATAATGAAAATGTTATTTTTATATCTGCTTTTCTTAAATTGTAACCGGAAAAGTCATCGCAAACAAAATAATATTTGAAAAACTATTACATATTCTAAGAGCAAAAATTATTATTATAATAATCTATGGATCTCATTTCATGTAAATGAATTCCAAAAAAATCTCGCACGATCTCTAATGATTTAGAACAACTTTTTTGCAACGTACGTGTTGGAGACACGTTGTAAATATCCAATGTGAAGGCACAAGGCATGGCATAATAATATATTATCTCCTCAATGATAAGGATATATTCTTAATTAAAGCAATTATAGGGAGCATATAAAAAAAGATGATGATGAAAAAGAATGATTAATTAGTAAGAGACATAAGAAAAGTTTATTCTCTTTGACTCGTGTTCACATGCCACGAGAGATAAAGTTAAATGTAAAGCCATAGATTTAATTTTATTCAATGGACCAATCTTTATCATGCAAATGCATATGTAGCACATTATATATTCGTTAATGGACACGTTGACAAGAGAATACTAGATCATGTTAAAAAGAATATACAGATAAAAAATAAAATTAAAAAAATAAATTAAAATACAATATGGGATAATATGTTTAAAACATCATTATTCTCCGGTTATGAAATTAGAAAAATCTTTAAAAAATCAAACTGAAATAAGTCATTAAACCTAATTTTTAATTAAATACAATATTAAACGATGAAATTAAAAAAATATTAAAAAATAAAATAAAATTGAATTAATTAAATTAATATGTCAAACTCGCAATCTATATCATGAAAAGAGGACAACTCAATAAAAAGCAAATTCAATATTGAAGAACATGAGAACATGATAATCTTTTTTAAAAAACAACAACTTGATTTAACTATGGTTAAAATATCAAAACTCACAACTTTGATCATGAAACTAAAATATTATCATATAAAACAAATGAAAATAGATTATAAAGCTAAATTCCAAATCAATCTAACATTAAATGATGAAACTGAAATACAATTCAATTAAAAACACACCAAAAAATTACTCGAGTCAATTCACGTTAACCTATTAAGCACTATTTTCAGATCTTGAGACTAGAATAACCTAATAAAAAACAAATATAACAAATCATAAAGCCTGTTTTGTAATTAATTAAGTATTAAAGGATAGAATTGAAAGAAAAAGTTAAATAAGAAAAATAAACTAGCTAACCAAGTTAATTTGTCAAACTCGTTATTGGAGTCATGAGAGTGGGATTATCTAATAAAAAAATAATACTAAAAAGAAATTGAAAAAAAAAACAAAAACAAATGTTTTTTTTTGTAAGGTCATGCTAAAACATGTGGGGAAAGTATTTTTTTATGGCTACTAAACTTTCCCCGCATGTTTTAGCATATTGTTCACTAGTTTATTGATATGCTAGGTTACGAGTTAAATAATTTTTGTAACCTTACAAAAATATAAGATAAAAAACCTACAAAAGGGTTACTATTGAAAATATTATTAGGGATAATGATTTATTATTACTCAACTTTAATATAAGGATAAAACAAAATTGTATAAGGTTAGTATCCAAAATACTATTAGAAGTAATACAACTCATTCATTCATAAAATAAAGATAAAAAGAACTGCA